GTGAAAGCATTGTTGACCAAAGAAATGCCTGTAGATGTGTTTATGAAACTGAAACTGTTGTGATAGCTCAGCATATACACTGCAAAAAATTAGTAGTTAAAACAACCCATAGGTGGTTACCTCAGTTTCACTAAACAATAGACTTCCGGAACTGAGATAACCTTTTATGGGTAGTTTTAAACAATTTTTGCTGTGTAGTTTTGTAAATAGATTTATTGAGTATAGTGTGGCCCACTCCCTGTGCGTACGTGACTACATGTACATGATTTAAAAATAGCAGCAACAATACTGCATGATGTTAAAGGGAGTTTACCATTACAACTTATACAAGAGATACCATTTGGTGCAAATAGATCTAAGATTTGCTGTGTAGTGTTAAGAGAGTCTGTAGTGTACATTATGCATGTACATATTTAGGAGGAAAAACTATGAAACTGAGATTATCATGATGGAATGCCAGGGTTGCCTGCTCTGCTCAAAAATGCAATTATCGATATTCTGCAGTGTCCTGCAAAATGTTAGCATAAGGCATGAGTAACACAAATAACTGGCTAATTGTCTAATTCAAAACAGTCATGGAGCCAGAATGATGGTAGCATAAATATCATACACCAACACCAAAACTTCACTAAGATTGATACACCAACCCTGACCACCTCACTAAGAGATACTTACCTAATACCTGCTCACAGGTCAAGCCACTCAGCACATGATGATCACATGACATTTATGCATACAATATTATAATAGACAAACTTCAATAGGACATACAGCAGTAGTGACAGTGCGTGTTTTTACTTATAATAAACCAACAGGCAATCTCTTCTCACTGCATTTTAGGGAGCATAAAGTACATGCATTAGACCTATTTATAATACATTCCTGTTTTGTCTTTGAATATTTTTAGTAATTTTTGATCCTATATCTTGTTTCTTTCCACTATTGTATCTTCATTTTTGAAGCAGTTTAATGAGGTTGTTTTATTTTGTACATTTATAATTTTAAAGAAAAGTAGTCAAACCTCATAAGGAAATGGGCTAATCTGTGAAAAAAAATTAACATTAGGTTTACGTATAGTGGCAACTGGCAAGCACTGAAAGAGATATTTTCAGTCTTGCTAGTGTCTTTCACAGAACTTGACAAAAGCTCCTTGTTAAGCATTTTCTTTATACAGCAGTTTCAGTTAGTTATTGTCAATTGTTTACTGTAACTTGATTGGATAGTAACGCTATAAAAAAAACACTGCAAACATTAGAATTGATACAAGGACATTGAAAGTAGTTACAATAACACTACTGTGATCATAAAAGTTACACTAAAATAGACTAAAATATTATGAATCAATCTAGTGACACTCCAGAACTAAAATGTATATCTAGGAGTGTATGTATGCATAACAAGCAAGTACATGAGCAATGTATACTGCTGTATCACATAGTGTACATGTACATGTATATTAAATTACACTGTTAGTTTTTACTATTTTATAAGTTATGTTTCATTAATAGCAGTATCATTAACATTGACATAAGGACACTCATATACTGCCTCTTTTGTAACATGTTTAGTCTTGTGAATACCATTATGGTTCACAGGCTTGCATTGGTATATCATCATCAAGCCTATCACAAACAATAGTAATGTACAAAGAGTTATGAGTGTTCCTTTACTTTGTTTGCTTAGCAGTGGTTGTATCATAGGTTTCATGCCTGTACATAAACAACATTAAATTGTATTTTATGGCTGTTAATGTATTCATACTTGATAAAGCAGTAGATGTGAATAATGATACTAACAACTAGTGATATTAATAATAATCCAACCACTGCACCCAGTCCAATACTAGCACCATCAACAGCTCCTGATACTATTAATAAAGAATATTATGAAATTATTTGTGTCTTAACATTTACCAATTATTATTGTACCTGTATTAGTTGATTCTACTTCTTGAGTAGTCACTAGTGTTAGTGTCACAAATTGAGTACTGATCAATGTCTCATTAGCAATAAAGGCCCACCCACCAGGTCCTCTGTCTGCGTATGCATGTACACCGAAAATATAACAAGACATAGCATTAAGAACAGTAATGCTAATAAATGTATTGCCATTGGTTGAATTAGAAAGCTGTAGCTTTTGAATATCAATGTCATCATTGTCTGTTGTTGAACAGTAACACTTGTCAAAAAGAATATGATATCCTATCTCATATGTGATAATGGGATAGTCTGATGGAATATAACTAAGTACACTCCATGAGATAACAGCCCATGTAGTGTCCATGGTACTAAATACTGAACCAACTGGACCAGGTACTAAATAAAGACACATTCTCACAGAACTGATATAGTATAATTACATGCCTATTCCAATCTCTACTACAATAGGATCACTGAAGGGACCTCTTCCAACAGAATTGACAGCAGCTACACTGATGTTATACTCAGTACCAAATACTAGATCATTCAATATGATATATCTCTTAGTACTGGTGAGGTTGTATGTGATACTACTGTTACTAATAATCACTGTATAGCCTGTGATTAGACCATTACACTGAGAACAATTGACCTCATTCCAAGTGAATCTATTAGCTGTTGAATTAACTGGTAAGACTTGAATTGATGAAGGCCAACCACTAGGAACTACAAAATATAATTAATTTGAATATTGGAAGACATTATTAACATACAACTCATTGTTTCAGTTTGTGCTGATGTGCTCCTGCTTAATTCAGATCCTCCTAGTACATTACCAGCTCTCACTGTAATGGTGTAGTTCATACCACTGTACAGGCCCATTAATGTATAACTGTATGTTGTAGTGGACTGATGAGGAGCAACAGAGACTGTCTCATTCACTGATGATAGCTGGGGACAAGATGCAGTATAGGAGATGGTATAGTATGTTACATAGTTGTCACTACTGGGAATAGTCCAGTTCACTGTAATACCAGTGGTTGAGACATTAGATACTGAGGGACTAGTTACTGGACTAGGAACTACAACAGATATCAATTACACTCTCTCAATCATAATAACTCACCATCAAATCTTAACACTGTTACTGTACTATTAACTGAAGGAAGATCTATATATGAGTACACACTGATGGTATAAGTACTCATTGGTGAGAGATCTATTAGTACAATTTTATCTTCACTGGTAGATACTACATTCCTAGTTACACCTCCAGTAGCATACTCAATCACATATCCATTAGTCTCTGATGAATTGGTCCAGTTCACTTTGATACTATTAGCATTTATTATAAACCCTCAAATTATTTGGAGGACCACTAGGAGCTAGAATAGAGACAAAAGTATCTACTATTGATTAAAGTATAATCATACCATGTAATATCACAGATTGACTGTAGTTGACTCCTCCAATCATTGCTATACAGGTAACATTAACTGACACTCCCAGTGGATCAGAATATACCAGTAGTGTGTTGTTGTATGTCAGGACATCAATTGATGAATACATTGAGCTACTTTTCATCACTCCATTCACTAACCAGTAAACATCAGTTGAAGGATATATGTCAGTAGTTGTGAGACAATCAATATGATATTGAGTGTTATTGAGTTGTGTAATGGATGAGACTAGTGTCCAATTGATTGAATTAATAACTAGAAATACATCAACAATGTTATACAAGGACATTAAAAGATGCAGTAGTAATACCTGGTAAGGTCTGTACACTGATTGTATTAGCAAGTCCCAGTAATTGTTGATAGGCTCTAACTGTGATGCCATAATTTGTTGCTATATTCAGTCCATTCAGTGTGATTGCATTATTACTACTTCCCTCCACCTGTACTGTCTGCACACAGTGCACAGTGTCTGTGTCACTAGTGACATTGACTACATATCCATCAGCATCAGATGAATCAATTAGTGCAGTCCAACTGACAGTGATAGTGGTGGCTGTCTTGCTGACCTCAGTAAGAGAAGAGGGAGCAGTTGCTGGCACTAATAAAAAAATGTAGTATTTTAAAAGTCATGCAAACATATTCTGTTACCTTTTATAGTTACATTATGTGTTCTAGTAGGTTGATTAGGAACTTCCAGTACACACTGATACATTTGATCTCCAGTGGTTGATTGACTGACTGATCCACTACTGACAGTCATTCCATCCCATGTGATATCAACAGTTTATCTTAATGTGTTTGTACTACTAACTAACTCAATACCAGGACAAGGATTATTATTATTATTATCATCACAATTAGTATAACTAGCCAATGCAGTGCTACCAATGCTCATACTAACATCATAGCGATTGAATCCAATTTTAGTACAATTGAGTTTGTATTCCTGAGGATATACTGTCATATCAGAAGGAAGATCAGCAACACTAAATGATTCTATCTCTGCAAATCCTACAAATGAACATTATTACATCAGTAAGTGATTATAGTTTTCTCTTTCTGAATATATTAGCAAAGATGATGTTAGTGTTAGGATCTGAACAATCAGTGGGTAGACAACACTTGTACCAGCCTTCTTGATCTGCTGGTAGTCCCTGGGCAAGATAAAGATTGATAGTAGCATCAGGTGAAGTGACATTAGTACAACGAAAAGGATCATTGCCACTATTACTGTTACAGTCAACAGGATCATCAGGATCAGCAACTCTAACCCACTGACCAGTCATTAGACTAGTACCAGGTAACACACATGATATAACTTTAGTAACTGCATTGACTCTATTATCACAAAAATATGATCCATTTAAATAGGGCCTAAGTAAAGCCCAACATCCACTATGGCAACTTTGTTGAAAGCAACTTTGCGGTTACTCTGATGTATGTTAACTTTGTTGCCAAAAGTAGAATAGTGTTCTACTTTTGGCAACAAACTTTCTGTTGATTTCAACAAAGTTGCCTAGTGGATGTTGGGCTTAATAGTGCTATATTAACATGGAGGACACTATAGATTATCTTTCACAATAAGCAATACCAATAATCCCAGTTGAATTGTTATTTGATATAGCTGGTAAAATATTTCAACTAGATTGCTGTTCATTGTCTGACAGTGTGTTTGAAAAAACTAATTTTTATTAAATGCTATTGACGTATTGTTTTAAATTATTTTTCATATGTTGTATAACTACAAGAGATAGATAATAGTACTAGTAATAGTAATAGCAAATATGTAATAGTAATAGCAATGCTATTACTTGTCATTTTCCCTGTAATAGTAATTATAAGTGTCAAGGTGTAATAGTAATAGATTACAATTGAAAGTAATTGACCCCAGGCCTGTTGTACACACTATCATTCCCAAAATAATTCAGTGTAGCTATTTAAGCATGTAAAAATTATCAGCTATAAGTTTAAAAAAATTAAGAAGATAATATAATTCTACAAAGTTGATAATTTATTCATGAGATAATTAGGTCATCATACATTCACCTCCCCATATATCAATGGAATGCCATAGTTACTACAGATGCACAAACATGAAAGGCTAGTGAAATGTGATCTTTCTTGTGAATTCTTAACTCAATAAGGAAAGGGACAATACTTTAGCAAAACACAATCACTCCCACCCATACTTTGTCTAATAATTCTTTAATTACATAAAAAAGTTGTTTTCATTCTTCATACAGATATTGTCATGTCTATATGAGCCATTTATACAGTTTGTTATACACACCCAGTGTCTTACCTGTATAAGGAAGGTAGACATAAACTGATATGAGTTTCACTGACACTCAACAAAAGAATAGACCACTTAAGAGATGATAGTGCTTCTGGGTATGTAGATCTATGAGTATATGTCTAAGTATCATATAAGCAACACTATTTTGAAAAGCAGACACATAAAAAAATAAAGTAGGCTCTAATGTATACTATAGTCACAGTTGTATCACATAAACTATATTCTAGGAATGTTAAGGTTCCCTATGTTAGGTTCCTATGTTACGTAATCATCAACGTCAACATCTGCAGGCTCTTCAGGTGCTGTCCTTGTGTTTGTGTGTATACCATATGTTTCACATGCTTGCATTGGTAGATCTATAATATCGTCATAAACAGTACTATCTATGACATCATTATTATCAATTCTATAATTAAAAAAACAGTAATACCATATCTACTTCTTAAAGAGTTACTTATTTGCTTGTTTAGCAGTGATCCTATGATAGGACTTGAGCCTGTAAATAAATGACATTTAACTATAGTATTGATTAATGTATCATACTTGATTAAGCAGGAGATATGAATAATAATACTAATAGCTAGTGATATTAATAATAATCCAACAACTGCAAACAGTCCAATACTAATACCATCAACAGCTCCTGCAACTATACGTATTATTCAAAAATATAGACTTTTATATAATTTTAATATACCTGTATTAGTTGATCTTATGCATACTTCTTGAGTACTAGTACTTGTACTTGTACTAGTGAGTACATGTACTAGTGTTAAAGTCACAAATTGAGTACTGATCAATGTCTCATTAGCAATAACTGTCCAGTTTCCTGGTCCTCTATCAGTGTATGCACGTACACCAAAAGTATAACAAGAC